AAGCTCTCAGTGTGTCACTGCCCCACGTGGACAGGAGGCCAGTGAAGCCCTGGCCGGCCCTTGGCGTGTCACTGCCCCACGTGGACAGGAGGCCAATGAAGCCCTGGCCTGCCCTTGGCGTGTCACTGCCCACGGGAAGGTTGGCGCTGGACAGGAGAGGAGTCAGGTCTGCAGGATTACTCAGTGTGATTAGAGGTTGGGTATTAAATGGCCCGTTGGCATGTACACAAGTAAGGCAAAGTCATTACTACGGTTTCTTTCCTAGTCTGTAACTTGAGTACGTTAACACAGAGAAGGCAACTCACACGTCCATCCTGGTCAGAGAGGAATGCATGGATACACAGACACACTAAAACAGGGCGACAGAATGAATGAGAGCGACGTCGCGTGAAATGTATTAACTGTGGACAATGGAGCCGTGATGTGGTCCCCTGATGACCTGATGTCACAGAGGAAACCAGAGGGCTTCACAGACTCAGGCCGTCAAGGAGGTGTGAGTAAACAGCTACCCGTAAGGTCACGGAGGGGCACACTCTTCAACAGGCCTGTAACTAATCGAAGACGTCCCCACTGGAGCCTGTGCCCCTGGTTGGTGAGTCCCCGTCAATGCCACGGGAGCTGAAGGATCCCAGGAAGGGGCTGTGGGGGTCTGAGGAAGTCCGTGGAGTGACCATGTGCTCTGCAGGACGGTGGCTCTGCGTTGGTCTCTCCTAGAGGACGGGGGCACAGGGCCACCCCTGGGTCAGCCACTGGCTCCCTGAGCGGGTGCAAGGCCAGACCTTGAACATCAGTTGTGGGACAGTGGACATCCTGGATGTGAGCAGGTCCCCAGTGGGCTCCTGTGTGGCTTTGATGCTGGGCTTCCATGACCTTCCCCTCCAGGTGAAGATGGGGGTCAGCAGGTGCTGGCCAGCTCTGGGGCCCTTTCATCCTGAAGGCAGGAGGGACAGGGGACTGACGACATGCTTCCTTCACAAGTCCTCCATGATGGCCAGCAGTGGCCACTTCTCAGACAGGGCTCTGGGACTGAGGATGCCGTCTGGGTACACAGGGTGAGCAGCCATCTGGGACCTGGCCCCACTGAGGTGATGACACCATGCAAGGGCTCGCCTGTGACCTGTGACCATGGATCTTGTCCCCGTGACCGAGGCAGCGCCAGCTCCCTGCTGGGGCTCTGAGGACCCTGTGGACATCAGAAGCCTCTGCAGATGAAGGCTTTACCCCTCGTTCTCCACGCAGCAGGTGTGTCCACGGGCAGGGCCTGTGAGTGCAGGTGGTCCTGGGGGGCTTATTCTGCTACACCAAGTTTCTAACCTGTGACTGTAAAGGGGTCCTCTGTGAGGTCCAGGGGCATCCCCACCAAGGCGGTCCTTCCCCATGGCGTGCTGTGTGTGAGGGCAGCGTCCACGCCTTCCTGCTGGATTCCCTGCTCAGGAGAGGGGCACGTGACACCTTGGCTTCTCAGCAGCTCAAAGATGACAAAGAGGCTCGGCTCCAACCTGTCTCCCCCCTGGTTGCCCCCCGCCCCCAGCATGGGAGCCCTACTTCCCAAATCAGCTCGGGGTCCGATTCCCTGTGGTCAGTCCCCCTCTCTGCTCTTAGTCCTTTCTAGTGACGCAAGGCTCCTGTCTGGCCCGCAGGAATTTGGAATCCAGGTCCAATGAGTTGGTTTTCACTCCTCAGAAGGTGGGCGCAGCCCTGAGACAGGAGAACTTCATTGGAAAGGGGCGTCGGAAGTGCACCGCCCGCGGTCAGGCACACCTTTCCAGGGGAAGGAGGGGCGATGTTCTAGAAACTTCAGACTCCAGTGCAGGTTGGCTTAGAGGAGACCTGCTTCTGTCTGAGCAGGGCTTGCACGGTAAATGCAGTGGTTGAAGGAGGGGCAGCGACGGTCTACAGCTTGAAATGTGTTCTTCAGTAAAGAAACCCCCAGCACAGCCTCACTCCTAACGTGATTCCTAAGCTCAGACCCTGTTTCGTAAGATCATCCAATCATGAGGTGAGTCAGTTAACAGCATTTTCCAGCCCAGGGTCCACTCACCCCTTTGCATCTGGCCTGGCGGTTGCCCAGTGCCAGAGATGGAGACTGAGGTGTGGACCCCTGAGGACAATGACCCTGGCCCGTGCTCTGAGAGCAGAGATGGGCAGAGCCTTCCTCCCCATCTACAGAACCGAGGGCTTGGCCAGCTTGGAAGAGGACGGGGAAGGGACTTGAACCGTGGTGCTCTGCTCTGTCTCAGAGCTGGGTGGCTGGCTGACAATTGGTGGACAAGTCTGTGGACATGTTGGCCTCCGTGGCATTTCTCTGGGTTCCAGGTCTATGTGGACAGAGCTGTCCTGTGGCATTTCTCTGGGTTCTGTATCCACATGGACACAGCTGCCCCTTGGCATCTCTCAGGGTCCGATGGGCTGTGCTAAGGCTGATGTATGCTGGAAAGAAAGCGCTGGGTCCCACGGATCCCGTGGGGCCTTGCCGGCCACAGCGGCCACGGGCAGGGCCAGCGCAGGGGCCCGCAGTCAGACGTCCAGGGGGCTGACGATGGTGAAGCCTGAGTCCTTACTGGGGCTGCTGCTGCTGTCATCGGGGCTGGAGCTGGGGTTGCTGGATGAGGCCGAGGCTGGGCCTGTCAGCGGGTCAGAGAAGGTGAGCGGGCAGCGGGCCGAGGTCTGAGCTTTGCGGGACGTGCGGCTGACGGTGCGGAGAGGCTGCGCCTGGCCCGGGATGGGTCCCCTGGCACTGTCCCTGTCGTCCTCTCTGGAGACGAGGATGAAGTCCTCTGAGCTCCCTGTATCAGTGGGCTCTGAGGATGCCTGTGGAGTGAGGGGGACAGTGGGTGAGAGATCAGCTTGTAAGGAGGCCCAGAGCGGGGGTGTCCAGGGAGAGTGGGGCTGAGGATGCCTGTGGAGTTGGGGGGACAGTGGGTGAGAGGGGACAGCGAGCCTGTGAGGAGGACCTAGAGTGGGGGCGTCCAGGGAGAGAGGCCACTTGGCCCTGCACTGTCCCAGCTGGCCTGCTGCCCGACACCTGTGGGCTGGAACATGGTGCTTCTCCAACGTCACTGCTGTGTGATAACCTGGGCAGCTGAGCTCAGGGGGGCAACGCCACCAGCCTGGCAGGGATCCCATCACGCAAACCACCCCCCACCTTGAGTGCACTTCGCTGCCTGTTGATGGGGTCTCACAAGAGTCTGTCTGTCCCTCTGTGTGTGGACCAGAGGGCAGAGGGACCCGCACACTGAAGCCCAGGGGCCCCGGGTCCAGAACCATCTACAGTTCTGCTCGCCACAAGGGCATTTTTGGGAGGGTCCAGCACCAGCATGATGCCAGGCCTGGGGGCTACTTGACAGAGCCCACCTGGGGTGGGTAATAAGGTGCCCATGCGCACAGGGCTCTGTCCTGGGCAGGGGCCCCACTATAGGAGTAAGCAGGCCCTCAGTCCTCCAGTTTACAGCGGTGACACACGTCAGCAGATGGCAAAGGAGTCCTGGAGGGCCAGGGCACAGGCAGGGGAACCCGTGAGGAGAAGGCCACCATAATCCGCTCCTATGTTAGGAATGAACTGTGATGTGGAGGGGACTCAGACAGACCCCTGGGCCCCCGAAGATCCCAGTACTGCAGACTTCAGAACCACCCTGAAAGAAGGAGTGACGAGGCCTTCCCTCCTCCCATGCGGTCCCTGCTCTGGTGTGCCCGCAGACCCTGAGGGCCTGTCCCCTGTGAGCAGTGACAGAGCTCAGAGAGCCCCAAGCCTGGGGCCACAGACCCCGCAGGGACAACAGGACAATGTGGCTTGCCTGGGAGCCCCCTGCCCCTTATCAGACTTGTCCAGACCACTGGCCTCTACAGCAGAAGGCCACAGAGCCTGGGCTTATCTGTGGACTTGCTGGCTGGCACCGTGATGGCTCCTGTCTGTCCTCTCCTGAAGGACAGAGCGTGCTGCATGCACGTTTCTCCTCTCCCCAGATAAATGCATCTTCTTTAGCTTTGTTTTATAGACGGTTAAGGACCCCGTGGAGGAGGGCCAGTGTGAGGTGGGCACAAGAGGAAGCAATTCCACTGCCCCTTGACCCCAGAGCTGACAGGCAGGGGTGAGGGGTAGGGAGTCCCCTCAGAGGCACGGGTCCCTGAGGTTCTGACAGGAGGCAGCTTTGCTGGCAAGAGGCCTGAGGTGACCACAGCTGGCTCATCTGAGGGTACGTGTGGCTCTGGGGACACAGCTGGCTCCTTTGGGCATGGGGGGCCCTGGAGCATAGCTGGTTCACTCAAGTCTGTAGAGGCCCTGGGGTACAGCTGGCTTACTCAAGCATGTGGGGGCCCCTAGGAGCATAGGTTGTACACTCAGGTATGTGTGGGGAGCCTGGGGGCACATCTGGCCCACTGGAGTGTGTGTGGGGGGCCCTGGCGCAGTGGTGGTAACCAGAAGCCTCTACAAACTGAGAAGAAGGATTATAAAGTGCCACCAGGAAGTCTTCAACTTAGCAAACGAGTTAGTATTTTAGAAGGTGCTTTGGGCAGCACTTGTCCACAGTTAGCCCCTGGTGGCACAGTGCATTGAGAGCTGGGCTGCTAATCACAGCGGTTGGCGGTTCAAGTTCACAGCAGGGGAAGCGTGCAGCTGTCTGCATCCGGGATGAAGTTTCATCTTAGAAACCCGAAAAGCCACTGTGGCTGGACCGAGGTGGGCATTTAATGAAGACCCCGCTCCAATAGCTTAAATCAAAGTGGACACACAGCGGTGGCTGGGCCTGCGCTCTGACATGCTTGCAAACAGAAACTAGTATTGTAAAATAAAACCTCTGTGAAGGGACAGGGACTGGGGAGGAACCAGTCACATCAAAGGTGCAATTCACGGTTTCTGGAAGCTTCCTTTTAAAGCTGTATGGGATGAAGGGTTCTCGCTTTGAAAGGCTGCTGTTGTCCGTGTATCAGTGAATCGGGACCGACCCACAGTTGACCCTCCAATGGGTTCTCATGGTAAATCACAGGGGAGGAGACTGCCCGTCCTTCTCCCGCGGAGCGGCTAGTGGACTCACACCGCACACCTTTGGGCTGGCCACACAGCTCTGCGCCACGAAACTACCAGAGCTGTGGAAAAATGAGGTACCAACAACAGAACCACACTCTCAAATTTGCTGCGTTGAGCTTTTAAAACACTAAGAAATTTAGCAGCATCTGGAGAGTATTTTTCAAGAAAGTGACAGAGGTAAGATTTTGCTCAAGTTCACTTTTCAAGGTGAAACTTTGTAAGTGGATTTTTTAGTATTATTAGGAATTAACAGCAGTCTCACCAGATGAAAGAGAGAAGCAGCAAGGTGGACGGAGACATGCTGATTCTGGAGACCACAAGGCCGCAAGGCGCCCTCAGCCCAGGGAGACTGGATTAACCCAAGGACTTGCTTAGAGCACGTCGAGTGAGGCCACTCTGACTCCACAGTGGAGTAACTCCCAGTGTTAACACTCGGGGCCTGAGGCGCCAAGCCACAGCAGACAGCCACCCCCAAGCCGGGAAGTTTTTATGTTTATTAAAGAATAGGAGGGAGCTCTGAGGGCCTAGAGGTAAGAAGCTGAGCTGCAATACCAAAGGCATGCAGTTCGAATCCACCAGCTGCTGGGAGAAGGATGGGCAGCCTCCTCCTGTGGGATTTTCTGCCTCCAAAAACCTGCTGGAGGGCCAGGTACGGGTCAGTTCCAACTCAATGTCACACAACAGCAAACAAGAATAGGTGACAGAGACTGTACGTGGCCCACAGGATGGGAAGTACTTCCTACTTGGCCTTCACAGAAAGGTCTGCCCATCTCTGCCTTGGAGGATGGACCTTAATAGGCGATCTTTCCCATGAATATTGAGATGTGGACTTCTAGCCACATAACGCACAACAGGCCGGCATGAGCAGGGCTCTGGTTGTCCATCCGGTGATGTAGGGCACTGCCATCGGCTGGGAGTCCTGACCAACCGTGAAGGCAGGGCCCCGAGGTCCCAGCTTGCAGACTGGGAGTGGCTGCTGGAGGCCCCTGGAGCTGCTGGGCGCAGATGTGTGGTAGTGACCGCACGATTCTCATCACCACCCTCCCCGCAAGGTGTGCCCCAGGGCACGGGGTGGGCAGTCCACACGGGGACACGGGGTAGCCTGCCCTTCTGGCCCCAGAAGGCGCTCACGGCTGGACTTCACACAGGAAGGACCTCAGGCGGCGTGGCTGTCCCTAACCGAGGGCGTGATGTGATGCCCGGCTCCATACCTGCGTGGTGGCCGCGGGCGCCCGGCCGCTTGAGCAGTAGTGGTCATCGGCGATGGTGAGCTGCTCATTCTCCTCCGACTCCAGCTGGCTCTGGTTGAAACGCAGGGAGCCTTTGAGGATGTCTTTGATCTATTTTCAGAGGAGGAAAGGAATTGAGGAGATAGGAGTTTACTTTTAAAAGGGCACCAATCTCTAACCCATTAAACTAGGGTTGGCACGGACTGGTCTTCCAGTGGTCTGACTATTTATTCCCTCATTACCATAAAAAAGATGTAACAGAAAGAACGCCCACTCTTATCAAAGCCACTCAGTGATCAACGACCAAGGACCACTTCAGAGTGCCAATGGCTGAGCCCTCACAAGGTCAGACCCCAGAGCTACGTCCTTGGCCGTGACTCCAGGCCTGAGAGACACGGAGACAGGACACCGTGTGCTGAGCCAGCTCCAGGCACAGGCTGACTTGAGCTCTGAACTTCCTGCATTTATGGATGGCTGGCTGCATGACCCCAGGCCGGGCCGGGCCGGGCATCCACGGCTGAGGAACACGGAGACCGAGTCTGGGGAGAGGGAGAGGGCAAGGGTCAGAGGGAAGCCAGTCTGGGCTGCGAACACGCTTCTCTCTGGTCAGAATGGACCCCCGACCGACCTTCTGAGGGTTTCCAGAGGCTGTAAATTGCACGGGAGGAGACTGCCCGGCTCCCTCCCTCCAGCTAGTTAGAGACAACTGCTAGAAGCCTCGGGGGAGGCGGCAGAGAGCTAGGAGGAGCCGTGTCCAGCAGCGAGGGACTGAGGGGCAGGGGACCACGGCTCCAGCACTGAGTGTCCCAGGCCTGGGTGGCCTGACCCAGCGGGCTCTGGACGAGTGGCTGAGGGACACGATGGGAGAGTCCAGGACTGTACCTGTTTTAATCCTGCTAGGGAAACCAGAATTTGGTCTTCTTTTTCCAAATTCTCCTGTAGAATCACATCTTGAATATTGACTGAAAAGAGAAGAATAACAGGGGGTAACCTCCTGCTGCTTCACCGAAGCTTCAGACAAGACGCTCTGCGGGGCTCACAGCCGGGATGTGCACAGAGGCCAGTGCTGGGCCTGGGACACACAGCACCTGCACACCCTACTGCTCAGCTGTGTTCTCTTGATAGAGAGGCCAGCGTCTTCCTGCCGACGCAGGACACGGAGCCACCGGCCTCCACAGCCGGCCTGCAGCTGGCCTTCCCACATTCCCCGCAATCCAGTGACGCTACCTCAAGTGCAATTCCTCCCGGGGATTCGACTTAGTGTCTTCAGAGAATTAAAGCGGTAGACTATGTTGGAATCTTCTTGTTGTGTGCCGTCAAGTCACCTGTGACTCACAGCAACCCTATGGACAACAGCCCTAAACTCTGCTCTGTCCTGTGCCAATCGCACCATCTCCAACACTCCCATCCCGAATACCCCAGTCACTGAATCGATCCACCTCACACAGGGTCTTCCTCTCCTGCCCTGACCCTCCATCCTCCCAAGCATGATGTCCCTCTCCAAGGACCGGTCCCTCCTTGCAACATGTCCAAACTATGTCAGACAAAGCTTCACAATCCTTGCCTCCAAGGAGCAGTCTAGTTTAACCCTCTCCAGGATAAACCTGTTCATTTCCTTAGCAGTCCATAGTACATTCAATACTCTTCTCCAACATTACAAAAAATTTGTTGGAATCTTAGCATAAAAAATAAATACATTAATATAAGAGGACAAGCCCACAACACTGCACACGGTCATGAGATTACAATGCCTGTCACCCAGGGTCGTCACAGGAGCCCCCCACCTGACAAGCCCTCCCTCCAGCCCTGGCCTGAGGGCCATGCTCAGCCAGCTGTGGACCCCCAGGCCCAGCATCACATCAGGTGACTCACCAGCGTCTCTCACACACAGTGGTCCTCTGCCTCCGCACACACTGAGGGGAAACATGGGCCTACCCTGACCGGGCCTTGGGTGGGGGCTATCAGGCAGCTTGGGGAAGTGGCAGAGGGCCAGAGGTGCACCAGATAATGTGCTGGGCGATTAAAAGACGTTAAAACCAGAGAGCTCCGCCCCTAATTTGAAACTCAAAACAAACAAGTTCACCCCCAGTCACATCTTCTGATTTCTGATTCTTTGCAGCTCCATTTACAATACCTGACACAACATATTCCTAGTCAGACCTTGTTCCTTTCATGCCTCCTGCAGCTGTCCACTCTGCCTAGCTGTGAACAGGGAACAGTGCAGACCTCCACTCCCCGCCCCATCACCACTCTTCCTGATGGCAGGGGGAGATGAGGCAGGAAGTGAGCACCTGTCGGGGGGCGGGAGGGGGGTAAGAGAGAACCGAGGCTGAGCAGGGGGTCTGTCTCCTGAGGAAGCCCATCCTGCGTCCACCTTGAAAAGGGGACTCTGTGCTTCCTGCTTCTGACATTATCCTAATGGGACTGTGGACTCATCCCTAGACTCTATCTTCTTGCTACAAAGAAGGGGTGATCTATGGAGAAAGGCAATTTTACATCAGGAAGCATGTGTGGGGTACTGGGCGGGACCCCCAGAAGACACACACAGGGTGCCAGGTGGGACCCCTGGAGGCACGTGTGGAGTCTTGGAGATCATGAAGACGGCATACAACAAGCTAAGGTTCAGATATGTTGTTCACAGGCTCACTCAACCTCTTGACACCACTGAACAACAACAACAACAACAACAACAACAATAACATTTGCTGCTGCCATTAAAAATGTGATTCACTATTGTATAGTGTTGTACTTAATGAGAATTGGAGTTGTCAACTTGGCACAAAAAATATAAAACATCACATATGAGATAAGTAAAAAAATATAAAATGTATACAAAATTCTAAATTTTCTTTCCCTCTTCTGTGCATGAAACAAGTACTTTGTGGCTTCTGTGAGAAAACTGCATTTAAATTTGCCTTCTTCATGCCCACAGCCCTAGGGTGTCGGGTGATGTTTCTGACGAGCTCACAGGTTATTGTAGATTGTAAAGAAACATCTCCTCTTCAGCGGAGCTTAGTCAGTGAGGTGTCCACTCTTCCGTGAGCGGGCCACCCGCATCACTGCTCCATTGCAAGATCAGGTGTGCATCCTTTACCCCAGGGTCTAACAGGGTCATTTCAAATGACTCATTCCTCTTTGCCGTCCTTCTCCACATCCAGTTCACTAGTAAGTGCTGTCGACTCTGTCAACAAAACACACTTGAACTGTCCGAGATGTCTTCGCAGCTCATCTGCCCTGCCACCCGAGTGGACATCTGGATGCGTCTCCTTTCAGCCGTCCCTGTCTCTACACAGGACACACAGGTTCCACGTGCTGCTGCCCACAGAGCCCATGACATGCCAGACAGCCTGCTGGTGGAGGCAGTGCACCTGCTGTTCCCCTTTCCAGGGTGCAGGAGCCGCTGTCCCCACACAGGCCCGCAAGGCCCCCTCACAGCAGCCGTCCTGCCGTCTACGTGAAGGAAGCCCCAGTCCCTCTCTTGTGTGTCCTACACCATCCACACCACAGTGTTCAGGATCATGAGGCCTTGTCTTTGACGCCCTTGAACTGCGGTGCTGGAGAGGAGTACTGAATATATCCCATGACCATCCCCGATTCCAATGCAGCCTCAGGAGGACAGGCAGAGAGAGAGCAATGCAAAAGTAGACACACAGGGGAAAGGGCTTGTCAAGTTTACAGACAAGCCCCTATTTCATAAGATGTGCATTTTTAATCCCTGCCTCCAAAACTCTGAATTCAAAGACTTTAATTACGTGATGGGAAGAAGGCAGAATTTTGGTAGAGCTGTGGCAAAACGTCACCTCCTTTCAGGCCGTGGGTGTTAAAACCACGAGGGGATTTTATTCATTGCCTTTCCAACGAAAGGGCCAGCTGCACAGACGTCTTATGTAATTGTTCACTGAGCGGCTTTTTTCCACATTGGTTCTGCTGTCATTTACCAAACAGCCTTCATGTTTTAAAATCTGGATGAAGTAAATGCAAAGTGATCGGGAATTTGCCTGAATGAACAGGACCTAGTGGAGGTGACGGCCATTCATGATGGGCGGTGAGCGGCTTCCTGGATGGACCGCCAGCCCCTGACAGCTGCCTCCACAGCCCGTGACCCCAGAGCGCATCTGCTCAGTTCTGACAGAACGACTTTGCTTATCAGAAAAGCTCTCCCACAGTCTAGCTTTAGGACCTAAAACTCTCCGACATTCCAAACCCGTTTTACATCATTTGACAAGGACATTCTTGTGGGTGCTGGCAGGGGTGGGCTCACTCTTCAGGAAACTGCACTCATCTCTTCTGCCTACGGTTGCAGGAGACCCGGGACCTGCCTGAGAGGATGGGGGTCCAGGGAGACCCCAGCTCTGCCTGGGAGGGTGGAGGTCCAAGGAGAGGCTGCCGAGCTCAGAGGGCAGGGAGTGTTAAAGGGGAAAGAGATGGTGTCTCCTGAATGCCCACTGTGATCCAGACCCTGTGTGACGCTTTTGAAATACATTATCTGAGGGAGCTCTGGTGGCCTAGTGGCAAGAAGCTGCACTGCAATCCCAGAGCACGTGGTTCAAATCCACCAGATGCTCTACTGGAGAAGGAGGGACAATCGCCTCCTGTAACAGTCAGATCCATTTTGATGGTACACACACATAATAATAATAATAATAATAATAATAATAATAATAATAAATGTTAAAAAATAATAAAAAAGAAATACTAGGTGATAAATTGGCAAGATGGGCAATTGTCTCCTTATTTTACACAGGAGAGCACATACATAAGCAAGATGGGCCAGAGTGGCAGGGTCAGGGCTCTGCCCCAGCCCACTGCCCCCTCAACTGCCTTTCTTTCTCTGACATCAAACAGCCCCCTCATGGCTGCGGGCCCCTGCCTGGGGCGCCTGGCGGCCCACAGCCCTCGCTCAGCGCGGTACGCAGTCACAGATCTCCAATTAATATGGTGGATCTTCCAAGTGCAGACGCTTGGGGTCCGTTACCCCGTCCCTGGAGGGGCTTCCCGTCATCTGACCACCACTACCGTTTATTTACACATCAAGTATATCTCGTTCTGCCAATGCTGCTTCTGCTTAGTAAAACTTGATGGGAATGTCTCCCCTTGTGAGTAAAGTGGAAAAGTATTTTATCTTTATAGAGATTGCCCTAATTTATTGTCATCGATCCCACGCGTATGGATATTTTCACCTGCTCTGATTTTTTACGACTCTAAATGTTTAGGGGCCGGGGAGATCCGTTTGGAGGAAAACTGCTAGAATATTAAAACCATCTCTTAAGGAAGTCTAAGTCAGGAAGTCTGTCAGGAGCCCTGGCTTCCTGCACGTCTGTGTTTTCTCCGAATCTCCACTTAGAGCAAAGGGGCGACCTGGGCGGGCAGCACCCTAAACTCATCAAAGGCTGTGGTCACCCTGCAGTCAGTAAAGGCAGTTTACAAAGTACACAGCCCACAGCTACATGAAGGGACGCTGACGGAGAGGAGTCAGCACACACAAACACACCTCGTTTTGCAGTTAGCTGAAAACTCCGGGGGGAGGGGCATTTCCTTCCATTTTAATTAAAGTGTTTCTCCTTCCTACGAAAGGAGACATGCTCTCAGTGCTGACCGCAGGGCCTAAACTGGAGTCAGAGCTGTCGGGAAATTCAGAAGCTCAAGTAAAGCTGTTTCAAAAGCCGCCCTGTGTACTAAACAACTCGGCAATTTCCTAACAGGATTTCCTACTTGAAGCCCCAGTAAATCCCCCCTCAGTTGCTCCTTTGCTCTCTTATTTTGGACAACACTTATTTCAACTAATGCAAAGGTCATCAAGCAGTCAGAAAAGATATAGCTGCTGTTACGTGCCTTCGAGTCTTGCGCAACACATAGAGACACTATGGACAGCAGCTCTGGATAGTTCCCTGTCCCCTGTCCTGAGCCAATCTCAAGGACTCTGACACACTTACCCCACGACCCCAGTTACTGTATCAATCCATCTCATCTGGGGTCTTCCTCTCCTGTGCTGTCCCTCCACCCTTTCAAGAATGTTCTTCTCCAAGGACTGGTCCCCTCCTGGCCACAAGCCCAAAGTATTTGAGACGGAGCTTCAAAATCCTAGTCTTCAAGGAGAGACTTGGTTTCACACTCTCCAGGAAAGACCTGCTTGTTTTCTTGGCAATCCATAGTATATTCAAGACTCTTCTCCAGCACCATAACTCAAAGGCACAACTCAATTCTTCTTCTGCCATCCTTAGTCACTATGGGGTGGATAAGTGCACCTTAGTCTCTAGACTAATATCACTGCCCTTTACCATTCTAGAGAGGTCCCTAATGGCAGATTTTCCTAGGGCAATTTGTCTTTTGATTTCCTGAATGCTGGTGCCAAGAGTGTTGATTGTAGAACTGTTAACAACCTCAATCTCTTCTCCAGCTATCATTGCTGTCAACTGGCCCAGTGATGAGAATCTTTGTTTCCTTGATGTTGAGCTTCAATCCATAGTGAAGGTTCCAGTCCTTGACCTTCTGCAGCAAGCGCTTCAGATTCCCCTCAGTTTCAGCGAGCAAGGTTGTGTCATCTGTAGAATGAAGGCTGATGAGTCTTCCTTCAATCCTGATGACATGTTCTCCCTCACAGAGCCCAGCTTCCTGGATGATCTGTTCTGCTTATAGATTGAAAGTGGATGGAGACCCTGACGTATTCCTTTCCTGATTTTGAAACATTCCATGCAATGTTTCCTTGCTCTGTTCTGACCTCTGCTTCCTGGTTCAAGTATAGGTTTCACATGTTCATAATCGGGTGTTCTAGGATTCCCATTCCTCACACGTCTAGCCATGGCTTGTTGAGATCCACACAGTCAAATGCCTTTTCATCGTCAATGGAACACAGAGAGACATTCCTCTGGTGCTCTCTGCTTTGGGCCAAGATCCACGTGACAAAGGTTATAATGTTCCCAGTACCACAGCCTCTTCTAAACCCAGCCTGCACATATAGCAGTTCTCTGCTGTTGTACTGTTCCAGTCCTTTTTGGATAATCAACGGGAGGATTTTGCTTGCATGTGATAATTTCCACACTCTGCTGGGTCATCTTTTCTTTTTAATAAATGCCAGCCTCTTCCAGTCAGCTGGCCTGGTAGCTGCCCTCCAGGATTATTGGCTCAACCCCGTGAACACATCCAGGGCAGCATCTGCTTGTTGCACTATGTCACTTGGGACTCCCATCAATTCCTGAGGCCTTTTTTCTGGCCTTTTCTTACAGAGCAGCTTGAAGTTCCTCTTTTATCACCATTGCTCCTTGATCATATATTGTTTCATGGAATTCTTCTGTGTCAGCCAATTCTTTCTGGTACAATGAGTGTGTGTACTTCATTTTCTTTTGATGTTCTCTGGGTCATTCAATATTCTGTCCACAGCATCCTGAAGCATTGTAGCTTGAGGCTTGAATTTGTTCTTCGGTTCCTTCAGCTTAAGAAATGCCAAGTGAGTGCTTCCCTTTTGATTTTCTGAGTCCAGCTCTTGCCTTTGCAATATGTGTATGCTCTCCCCTCCCCTCCCC